GCGGTCGTTTCCTCTTGTATACGTGTTGTAATTCTAATTTCTTTTCCACATGAACATGGCTGTCTCGCTAAACTCCGAGACGGATGGACCTATGGGGTCATCGTTTGATGAGTCTACTGCAGCTTGCGGACAGGTTAACTGTTCAGAGCCAGTAACAGATGCATCTGGTGGTATGCAGTGTGACGTCTGCTGCCGCTGGGAACACGAAAGCTGTACCGGCCTACAAGCTGACCAGTACCAAATGCTATCATCAAGCGTCCACTTTCTTTTCAGCTGCGCTGAATGCTGCGCTAAAAGATCGACGCGCCCGGCTGTCACCGGTGCTAAACTTTCAGCGTTGGCTTCAAGGTTGGCAGATGTTGAGTTGGCGATAGCTAAACTCGCCTCTATTGCGTCGCTCGATACGAAAATGGATTTAATTTTAAAATCCCTAAATATTTCGTTTGAAGACACAGCAATAGCCGGCAACATTGCTGACGATCCATCCACTGGAGTCTGTCACTCGATCATAAAGTCGCACATCCTACCGGCCAATCCAGGTAGCATTGCTGGCGGTCCTCATGATCCGATCAAAGTGAAGAAAAATAGGGTGCGGAAATACCAAAAGCCCTCTGCTAAACCCAGAGAAATAGTTGCCACGGCATCGAACAAGATGCCGTCTTTGACAGTCGTAAAGTCGTCTGAAGATTGCACACAGAACTTTCCACAGACGCTGACTGTCTCGGCCGCCAGTGAACCAGCCTGTTCTGACGAAATGCTGGTAACTGCCCAATGCGATACAAAGTCAACGGCCCCTGCTCTAGTGAGCCAAAAGAAGAAGCGGACAAGATCTGCTCGTAAAACTTCGAAGGGGCTTGAAGACCCTGGAACCAGTAAGACGCCGGCAATAGAGCGGAAAACCTACGCTACCGTTGCTTCGGCGTCGTTTGGGAAGCCAGCGACAGTCCCACCGCCAGTGGTGAAAACAGCTGGTATAGGTGTCGAATCAAAGGCACGTGGGGTAAACACTCCCCGTCGTGCCGACTCTTTCACGGATAGTAGCGTTATATTCCGTAACGTTACTGAATCTGAGGCTGTTCTCCCAAGGGAACGCATCTTGGATGACATCAAGTGGCTGAAACTGTGTGTCAGCAAGCTGCTTCCACCTGGTTTCCCTGGTGTCACTGTCAGAAAGCTGACCAGATTGGGGAACGTTCCTATCGCTACGCCAAATCCACGACCCCGACTACTTCGCGTAGTCCTTTCTACCCCGGAGGAACGCAAATCGTTACTGCGATTTGCATTCAAACTTAAGGTTAGTGGTGTCAGCGTTCAGCCGGACCTCCCACTGGCAGATAGGTTGAAGTTAAAGGAGGCTATCAAAGACCTCAAAACTAGACGGGCGGCTGGTGAACAAGGCCTCCGTCTGGTGGGTTTTCAGGTGGTCAGCCGGAAATTACTTTCCGCCCTATCAGAACCAATCCTGATGGCGCACGACCCAGGGATGGTCGTGCCGACTTCCTTGAGGTAGTACTTAGCAACGTGCGTAGCCTAAGGAACAAGGTGCACGAGTTGGGTCTACTTGTAGACAAATCTCGTCCCGACATACTTGCTTTCACTGAGACGTGGTTGTCTCCGGATATCACGGACGGTGAGGTATATTTACCTGGCTACGCGCTGCTTAGAACTGATCGCTCCGTTGGTCGCCAAGGCGGAGGCGTTGTACTGTATGTGAGCTGTAACTTAGATGTGTTGAGGACTTGCACATTCCAGTCGTCGGATCAGACTGTTGAAGCCCTATCGGCTGTTTTGTGCACTTCCTCTACCCAGTTTACAGTTATAGTGGTATACAGAAGTCCTGGAAGTTCCTCCAGGGGGATACTTGACTTTATTCGCACTCAGTCTGCGAATAAGTGTTTAGTTCTAGGGGATTTCAACCTCCCGGAAGTCTGTTGGGCCGATCTTTCTTGCAATTCGGCATTAGGAACATTCGGTGCAGACTTCCTTGAACTGACTCTCCAAGTGCCTTTGCACCAGTTCGTTGACTTTCCCACTAGGTATATGGACAACCAAATGCCATCTACTTTGGATTTGGTTTTCGCTAAGTCCCTGGACTTCGTGACTG